TATCTTTATTCCAACCATGACTCTTAATGTCTGGCTGGGGTGTCCAATTTTGGTGGGACATATTCTTGGTGGTTTCATCACGACACATTCTTTAAAGAATCTTTAATTCTTGCAGACTCCAGGACAATCTTGAAGGATTGTATGACCTAGCAAAGTTATGAATTTAAACAACTAGGCTAATATTTTGACGGTATTGTGCTGGTTTCTTTTGAGGACAAGGATTGAGAAATCAGATTCGGAATGATTGTTTTGTGAAAAATGTTCATCCCTGGGTGATATAGTATTTTTCTCTTTTTTCATCTTTCTGCATGAGTTCATTTGAGAACATGGTATTTTTCCTCTCTAAATGCTCTCATTACTGGAGCATTTAGTGTACTGGGGTAGGTATACCACATGTGAAAGGCATGTGTATGACCCATGAATTTTGAAAGATGTGTTGTGCGGACTATTGATCGTTGTAGCAGTGAAGATATGTCTGCATGTTTTACAGGTACTGTTATTTCAGGTTCTGGTGCAATTTCGAGTTGCTAGGTCCTGATCTGTGGATTGTTTGCCTCTGTTGATGAGGTTGGGGGTTGTTTGAAGGCCAGAAGAGGGTGTTCAAGAAAGATTTCTTTCCAAGTATGATCTTGCTAGAATATAGATTACAACTGTTTAATGATACATGTATGGGGGTTCCAGTGTGGGGACATAGGTGACAACTAGGGGTGTGCAAAGGGAGTTTCTCCCTCTCCTTCCCATATTGAAGCAGTTTCTCTTGGGATATTTGGGTGTCCTGTTCTATGATATGATGTACTTCTGTGGTGGAGTGTCTGTGTTTGGTAAAGGTTAGTGTTAATTGTGTTAAAGTCTGTATCCCAGATTTTCTCCTCATTTTGTGGTTTCAGAGGACAGGCTGTAGATAACAGATTTTTTGGTGTGTGGTGGGCAGTTACTGGACTTGTGGAGGCAGTGTGATGATCCATGAGATTCTTGTATACAATTGTCTGTAGGGTTCCATTCTTGATTGTAGTGTCCAGGAGTTTGATGCTAGGGTAGAGTTTTATAGTATTTAGTAAAGCTCCAGGTTACTTTTGTCTTTGGGTTTCTGTCAGTGTAGATTCCACTGTAGATGTGTTTGTGCCCCAAACATGTGAATTCAGAATCTTTGCACACCAGTGTCCAGCGAGGCAGGGCATGCACCCTATGCTCATGCTCCAATGTGAAGACATAAAGGGTGAAGCAGCCTTGAGCCTCTAATTCTCTTCCCACCCATTTCAACAAGACACAGCCTAGACTGTCTCTAACCCGTTTCTGATTGCCAGAATTCACTTCCAGTGAAACTATGCTTCTTCGTTTCTTACTTATAATCATTTGTTTTAATTTTGTTAATGCTCCCTTACCCCATCCCTCAAAAAAAAAAGCAGCAGTAGGCCAGACATGGGGAGACCCCATGTGTTTAGCAGGGTAAAGCACTTTGTACTGACTGTTAACTATAGCAGTTTCAAAAACCACCAGGTTCAAGTCCCATTCTTCCCGCAATGGACTAGTATCCATCATAGATGAACACAGCAATGCCTGTTCTGGCTCATAGGAGCACATCTCCTATATTAGTGTGCTATCTGCTGCTCTTTTTCAGCATTCCCCTGCAAATCCTGAGAGAGAAGACTCCATCTAAACCTATAGGAGCAATCCATAGATTGTAATTCCACAGATCCAGGAATGGAAACATCCCCTGAACATTAATAGAAGATTCTGTCTTTGGGGAGTTTCCCACTAACTGTGCACCACAACCCCAGTTCAAGCAAGGAAAGGAAAATGAAGCGGGTGCATATGACTTGAGCAAGGTTAGTCCTCAGTGCCATCTACAGCAGCAGCAGCTCCAGAGAAGAGAGGCCCAGCACTGTTCTCTAAAGCGAAAATGCTTGCCCGCACTAAGCGTAAATACAGCTGAGATCAAGCAATACATCCACCCCTGAGAGAACTCTGAAATCAGAGAGAAGATCCAAAAATCCAACACCAATAAAAGAGAGCACCAAAATACCAGCAGCAACACTTAGGGAAAGGAAGACATACTCACTTGTACCAGCACTGGCACCAACATCAATGTTGGCCTTGGGCCCAAAAATCCCAGTTTCCTGATCCTGAGAGATGCCTTAAGACAAGCCTCCCTCGTTGCTCTCCTCAGCATTGAACCCTGAGCCAGAATCCTTTTCAAGTAACGAGATATGCCTTTGACAGCCCCTCCTTCCTTGCTCTTCTGGTACTAGCACAGGCTTTGCTGCAAAGCCAATACCAGTGGAGTCAAGCTACATGCATTGGCACTGCTACCGCCAGAAAGAGATTGCTTCCTCTGTTATCAGGCAATTCTTTCCCTCCTACTTAAGCAGAGAAACCATCATCTGAAAGGCATGGATAATACCTTCAGGCGTGCAGTACTGAATTCCAGTGAATTGCAGGACTGGCAATAGATAGGCTACCCATGATTAGGCTGGTACCCACACAACCTGCCAACATGGCTGTACTGCCCCTACTGAAGCCTAATCTCTAATAGATTTTGCACAGAACAATCCCACATCTGGATTTTAAAAAAAGGCAGTCTCGTTTATCACCAGCATTGCTGGCTAGCGCATCTTCACCAGGAGGGATCTTTTGAGGACATGGCAGAAGCAGCAAGGGAGACACTCCAGCTTCCCCCTTCTCTGAAGGAACCCTCCTTGCAGTCAAAGCAATTACACTGGCTCCAACACTAGCAAATGATGACTTTAGGGCTTTCTAGGAGTTGTTACTGAGGATAGCTGAGACATTGAATATCAAATTGATGATGATCTAAGAAAACACATACAAAACTATTCAAAATCCTAACCTACATAGTACCTGCAAGAATCAACCCTTCTGATTGAGTAACACATTTTTGGCATGGCAAATGATCTGTAGCACACCTCTTCTTTGCTTTGCCCACAATCAAAACAGCTGAAAAAACAAAACCAGATTCTACCCAAAGACTTTGAGCACTTTTGTCCCCACCTGATGTTATGTCATTGTGTCTGACATCCAGGAGAAAACCAGATCCAGAGGTTTTCTTAATGGGGATTCCTAAATACAAAGATCTCAAAAAACTGAACCTTTTCACCTAAAAGGCCTCTTCTCCTTGGTATCCTTCAGACTTCTTATTGTGAACTGTCAGATTTCATTTTAAAAATATAGCTTCCTTATGTGAAAGAGAAAAACCCGTTACCTAACTCGGCTGCAACGGGACTGCAGGGAAGATCATCAGTGAAGGCCATTAATGTGCTACATGTGGCAATAGATAAATTTGCACAGCCACCAGATGGGCGGCCAAAGAGTCTCTATGGAATCCAGGAAACCAAGGGAAGTCCAAATCACAATTCAAGGAGCCCTGTGAGGTCATTATCCTGTTTAGTAAAAGGACAGAAGAGGTGCCACATTTCCTCAAAGACTCAAGAGTATTCCAGATCCTAGTGAATATACACCAGGGAACTGTATCGCAAGACCACCTGAGACATTATTTTCTCTTAGTCGGCATCCAAAGCATCTCAAAGTAGTACAACAGGAAGTTCTGACAGGTTTCAGTTGGCACTTTACATGGCATTTCTCCCAGATCTGCAACACTCAGCAGTGCAGACACACTGCAAAATACAGTCTCAGCGTATCCTTGTGGATCCCTCTTTAGGTGTGCATCTGTCCCAACCCTCCCTCGGTTTCCTCACAACTTAAAGTCTGTGTTAGCTGAGGACTCCAAAAGCAGGGTTGGAGGACAGGTTTTTGGGATCCACATAGACTGCAACGTCTCAAAGAACCACCGTTTCTTCTTTGAACATGTGTCATTGTGGATTCCATTGTAGGGGTGCATCAAGACTACACTCTTCTTTAAAAAGAGGAATGCAAATGAGGGAAATCAAAAATGCAAATGAAGTGCAGATTTACAAATCTCACGCTTCATTTGCATAATCTCTTCTGATCATTTTTTTTTTTGAAGAATTTTTTTTTTAAAAAAGCAGTCTAGACAGCGTTCTTTCGGGGGGGAACCTTTTTTTGGAAGAATCCTGTAAACCTCATTTTTTCAGAAATAAGGGCTATTTTGAAAAAGTTATTGGAAGAGATTATGCAAATGAAGTGTGAGATTTATAAATCAGTTTATTTATAAATCAGTGCTTCATTTGCATTTTCGATTTCCCTCATTTGCATTCCTATTTCGAAAGAGGAATGTAGTCCAGATGCTCCCTAGATGACTGGCCAGCAATAACCTTCAAAATAGTGGGTGAGGAGTATCAGCTTCATTAGTCCAATAGTGATAGGAGTACAGCTCTCCCAATTTTTGCATCTGGTCTGGCAGCCAGCTCAGTGTATTGCATGAGAAATATGAGCACCTTGCTTCATGAAGCAGCTTTGCAGATTTCCTATATTGGTATATTGTGGAAGCCTACTGAAGATGCTTCTTGATATCTAGTGGAGCTCTAATAGTGACAAAGATACATACACTGTGTTATCTCTTTTAAAAGTCTCTGGGGTGTAGGATCTTGACCCTTGGATCAGTCAGCTATAACTACAAATAGATGTTGAACCATTCTGAAAGATTTGGTCCTATCAGTATAGAACTGAAGAGCTATGGCCATGTGGTTTGGAAAGAGCACAGGGAGGCTGATGGATTTATTCAAATAAAATTCTGAAATAACCTTGGTAAGGAATTTGGCTTGAGGTATCAGTTCCTTATTGTCTCTGTGCAACAGGGTGAATACAGAGGACAATAAATAAATCAAACAAAAGCACAAGAATAACTAAAACTCAATGCACATTTAAAGCAAATATAAACGTTTCTTCCATAAAGTAGCTTTTATTTGCTACAAAATACTAGCTATAAGAACTGTGAGCAGCAGTGCTGTGCAGAAAAATTTTCATTTGGCAAAATCAGAAAGCGTACTTGCTATGAAAGTTACTTTCAAACTGATTTACTGTAATTATAAGTTTAAAATTCAGTCTACCTTCTGCTTTATTTCTAGGTAATAGCTCAACAGGTTTCAAAGAAACATTTAGAGGAGGGTCGTCTATACCCTCCATTAGTCACTATTCAAGATGTGTCACTGAAAATTGCTGTGAAGGTAAGTGATTTAAGTTAATTTTGCAGCCTCTCTCCACTCCCCACACACTTTCTATATGTTAAAATTAGATTAGGTGAAATAAAATATTTTCAGAATTCATTAGTCATTTTAAATGGATCTTCATATTAAGCAAGCAGAGGGGTCTTTAAGATCAGTTTCAAATTCATACAGTTTAGGCATAGGAGTCAAGAAACTTAAAATATGCTCTGTGTTTAATTGCAGATGGCTATAGTAGAATGTCATTTCTACTACTTATTCTGTACCACCTGGTTAGTTAAATGTGCTGTTCATGGTACCTGGTCCAGAGTGTAGAGCTATACAATCCTATATTGTCATTAGTTTTCTTTCCTTCCGTTACCTTTCAGGAAAATAAACGTCTTCTCTCATGGCAGACTTCTCCTTTCTTTGGCATGTTGCTGCTTGATTTTATTTCAATCCTCCTTATCTTGACCCATCAGAATAGTTTTTTGTGAATTCAAATATATGTTTTCCATGCATGGATTTTGCCAAATTGACCGTATTATGGTTGTAGCTTATAAAATACCCAAAGTAATTGCATAATGCATGAATTTGGAAGCCCTGAAAAATAACAGACCTCGCCCCAGTTCTGCCTTCTCCAAGGCTTTTTGTCTCCTTTGAATTTTATTTCTGAGTGGGTTGTTATGTTTTACATAATCCCATTATTGAACAGCCTTTTGAAAGAACAGTTTTGTCAATAGCTTGCTATCTGTGGAACGTTCCTTTTGAGTCATTTGGTAACAGGATACCAGGTACATATTAAAAACCCTTTTTGTAGTTTGTTTATTTTCAGGTTGATAATACCTGTGTTCCATAGATGTCAAAACATCTCAAATAGACTTGCTAAAATCAGACTGCCTTTGTGCTTGCAAATCCTTTCTAAAAGTGCTGGAAACTCTCCTCCTCTATTCACTGTGACAAGATTAATATTTTTAACCTAGATGCAATATTTTTTAACTTAAAAACATATAAATGTGTTATTTGGGCTGTGCATATTTTCCAGGAAATACTGGAAGTTCAGGCTTATAAACAAGGCTCCAGGGCCTAGCCACACCTTTCTGCCTCCAAGCTAGATGAACATTTCCAAAGATATACTGAATTTCTATTTGGAGATTAATTTAAACTTTAACAATAACGATTTATTCAGTGGTGATAATTACATGCATGGACCCAAAGAGCCACTCTTGTGGAAATACCCAAAGAACTTCAGAGAAGCAGGTTGGAGTCAAGATCAGTCCTAGAAAGCAAGTCACAAGATGACAACTTTTCCATTTGGGATCATAGCCTCTCCCCAAGCCTAACCCATTTGTGAGCTAGAGAAGTAGATAGGTTTGTCCTTCACTAGGAATAGGAAGCTTAATGTGTGTGGGAGTAACAAATGCTGCTTCTTGGAGGTGGAATGAAGGTAGAGAGAGGGGAAAAAAGTGTACAATCATGCAGATTTTCCTAGACAGCTGGGAGGACAATGTAGAAAATGAGTTCAGATTCCTTCTGTATTCAGTTTTTCTGTCGTCAAATACGCTTTGGTGGTGCACAAGATGCTTCACTTTTTGTTTTTGTTCAAAATTTCCCAGGAATGTAATGAGGCTTATACAAAACTAAAAAAAATGTAAATTTGTGGGGGGAGGCTTTCAGTTTTCTGTGTAAATAATGTAGAACGGGAGCACAGACAGAAAAGAAGCCACCCTCCTAAAACATTTACTAATGGAGGGGAAGGGGATGCCTGTAGTCTATAGCATTAACCGATAAATTTTTGCCTAACAGTTAATCGATTACACTATTTACGTTTTTAATTTTTACTTGTACCTTTGATACACCATTGCAATAAAATTAATTGGTTGTAACTGTCAACTTTGGTTGTGTGTTTTCAGATTGCTGAACAAGCCTACAGCAATAAAACAGCATCTTTCTATCCTGAGCCTGAAGACAAGGAAGCATTCATCCGATCTCAGGTTTATAGCACTGATTATGATAACTTTGTGGTGGACTCTTATGTCTGGCCCAAGGAAGCCATGAAAATACAGACTGGAAAGCTTTAAAAGAAAATGAACAAGATAGCAGTAATTGAAAGAGTTCAAATACATATTACTTCTCTGTTAAATCTAAAAATTATTTAAAAAAAATCTTTAATAGAAAATGAACAAAGCAGCAATACTTGGAAGAGTTAAAATGTAGTTTTCTGTCAAATCTAAAAATTCTTATTTTTTAAGAGTCTGAAAACTTTTACAATAAGACTAATATTTTCTTAAAACTTTGTATTTTTATTTCAACTTAATTGATTAAGCTGCTAAAATAACTACACATAAGAATAAAAATTAATTTGGGCATCAGATTTTGACAAGTGTTTGCCTTTTTTGCTTATGATTTTCAGATGACTAGAACAGAAGGTTATCTATTATGGAGAATCACATCTCTATACATTTCTGATACTTTGTAATAGAGAACTAAATCCTGCTCTCAGTGATGCCACTGACAATTTTGTCACTAACATCAATGAAATCAGGATTACATGCAAACTGACAAATTGAATAGTCTTAAACATGCACAATCTGTTTAAGGAAAGGCACAGTACAATTTGCATATAAAATAGCTATACTATTATCTTTAAATAAAAGCGAAAGCATTTTTAAAACAAATATGTAGACTATTTTTCCCTAGAAAAACTGCATGTACATTTGCAATCATGCAGGTGCAATGGCACCAGCCAAGAGAAAGTTTTCTAATGAGAGAAGTTAATGACTATCTCTTAAAAGTCAAGGTGTATCTGGTTGAGTGGGTTTTTGTACTAATATATATATTACCTATGTTAATCTTTAGTATTCATTTCTTTAAAAAAAATTGTCCATAGCACATCTTAAATATAACCATATCTTCCAAAAAGTCAGTTGTGATTTGTTTTTGTTAAATTATATATTTTACTTTTACATTTTTTATATCTTAAAATTGTAAGACTTCATCACCTCTATATAAAAAACAGCTATTCTCTTATTCGGTACAAGTCAGTAGTGTGAGTCTCTGACTTGAGGCTCATTAAAATCCTGTGTGCTTTATATTCTGGGCATAAAGAGCATATAAAAGGATTATGAATAGGACTCTAAATATTTTGTAGATAGGGATACCGACGTTAGCCATCTGCTTAGTAGTCTACTTCTGTATCTGTGTTAAACCTGTATAAACTCTCTTTCTATAAAATTTATAAATCTTTAAATATTTCAGATTAGCGTGTGTTATAACACAGACTGTTATAGTGAAAGAAATTTTAGTAATAAATAGAAATAATAATTAGGGAAAAGAAAGCCTCCATCCCTTAGAAGAGAACAAGCACATTTTCTTATTTTTGTTATATTAACTGAATGTACTTTGCCCTTTGGCATCTCGCTGTGATATTCAGTATAGGGATGTAAAATCCCATTTAATCTATGGATGTTAGATAACATTTATTTTAGTAATTGTGTAGCTGCAAAAAAAAATCCGTTATGCGGTTCCTAAAATACTCCCCAAGGGTGAGGCTGGTAGCCAGTGTGCTCCTGGCACCACTCCCAGGGGCAGTGCAGGGCAGCAGCAGCCCCTATCCGCAAGAGGGCCGAGCTCCCCGTGGACAGAAGCTGTTCTCTGGCATCCTGTCCCCTTTCCCCCACATGCTGCCTCTGATAAGAGAGGCAGCAGTGCAGGGAGGGAGGGAAAGGCAAGCGACAGGATACATGCAGGGAGCCATCGTGAAAGCCAGCCACCCCCAAGCACTGACTCCTGCCTGCCTGCCTCTGCTGCCTCTGTGGGAGGCAGTGGGGGGGAGGGAGACAGGCAACTCTGCGAGAACCAGCACATTCAGGGAGTCAACTTAAAAGCCAGCTCCCACCTTCCCGCCTTTGCTGCCTCTGATACAGAGGTATCAGTGCGGGAGGGAAGGGTGTATTCATTTAGATTAATTTTAAGCCCAGGCTTATTAGTTAATTGTTTAAACAACTATACTCTGACATCTGTAGGTCAGTAAATTGCTCATTTTGATTCCTATGTCATTGTTTCTACAATAGTCCTTAAAAACGCAATGATGAACGTACAAGTAATTCTTCCAACATACATTTTTAGATTAAACTACTGTTTGCATATCTCATTCTATGTACCCTTTATAAGCTCTCAAACAGTTTTGAAAATTCTTATCTGGCAATGACATTTATCTTTGTGTAGAAGGGGTTATTGTTGTACACCTGCCCTTAATCATGTTGGGACATAATCACCTTCACTGTACTGGATTCATTTATTGGTATAGAAATTTCCCTTCTACTTAGATGGTTTCAACAAAATACCGGATACACTTGACATTACATCACAATCTACATTACATCTTATTTAGAAAATACTAGACATTTATATTTTCTCAATTTGTTTCCTGAACAGAAAGTTCAAATACGGGACTGTCTGGTTCAAAACCGGACACCTGGCAACCCTATTTATACTGGATGGATACCATAACTGGTTTCTTTTCTTTAAGAAAATCTACTTGAAAAGAATTTTTAAATTCTGTCCCTCTCCTATTTAGATTTTCTGAGCATTCCCATCAATTTTCCTTTTATCTCCTTCCCTATTCTGAGCCTTTTTGCTGATTTTCAATGGTTGAAACTTATTTTAGATCCTTTCTATAAGGTTCATTTTTTAAAAAGTATACTACTCACACTATCCTACCCGCCTCCTCCTTCTGTTCTGCAATGTGATTTGTCCTTTTCATATTTGTTCTTTTTTTTAATTGTATCCTTTGGTATATATGGTTGTGACTACTTTCTTCCACTATTTGATCTGAGGAAGTGGGTCTGGCCCACGAAAGCTCATCATCTAATAAACCATCTTGTTAGTCTTTAAAGTGCTACATTGTCCTGCATTTTGCTTCAACTACCCCAGACTAACACGGCTACATTTCTATCACTATCCTAACAGAAGTAATTGCAACGGTGTTATCATTGGTTTAGGTCTTGTATGTAATGAATATAAGCAAAGATGATTTTTAAATTACCATTACTAAAAGACAGGAAATACATTATTTCCATCTAGTTGCTATTTTGAAAAAAAACAGCAAAATATTCATTTCAAACATTGTCATGTGTATTTACTTTAGACAGGTCAGACCCATTTAAAGTTGTTATTGATTAATAGTTATCCGGTCTTACACAAAGAACTGACAGCATCACCAACTGGTCTGACTCAATTTTACTAATTTAATATTTACAATACTGTGTTGTCTGTGTCTACATTGGTGCAATCTTGCGCAAAAGCACCCGCTTTTGCGCAAAAACTTGCTGCCTGTCTACACTGGCCTCAAGTTCTTGCACAAGAACACTGACGTTCTAATGTGTGAAATCAGTGCTTCTTGCGCAAGAACTATGATGCTCCTGCTCAGGAATAAGCCCTCTGGCGCAACTGTTCTTGCGCAAGAGGCCAGTGTAGAGAGGCAACCTGAATTTCTTGTGCAAGAAAGCCCAATTTTTCTGATGGTTAAAATGGCCATCAGAGCTTTCTTGCGCAAGAGAGCATTTACACTGGCACGGATGCTCTTGCGCAAAAGCACATCTCTTGCCCAAAGGCACATGCCAGTGTAGACGCTCTCTTGCGCAAATACTTTAACACATGAACTCTTGCGTTAAAGAGTATTTGCGCAAGATCATGCCAATTTAGACGTAGCCTGTCTGATTGAGCTTAAGAATGGCTTCCTATGCTGTTGCTTGGAAAAATGAAGCAACAAAGAGTGCCTCAGTGGTTTCTGACTCTCAGCCATTGATATTTTTCCATTGTATTCTTCTAGTTTAATACACTAATGGTATGAAATTTACTGTGATACTCCACCATCAATGGAATTACACAAAAAATCCAATTTTTTAATTTAAATATTACAGTGCACACATAGTATTATCAGTGCGCTGCTTAAGGCAGTGGTCCCCAACATGGTTCCCGCGGGCGCCATGGCATCTGCGGGGGCATTTGTGTGCGCCCACCAACTGCTTGGGGCTGGCCTGGCCCCGGGCACGTGGCGCATGCATGGTGCCGGAGCCAGCCCCGGGTGCATGGCGCACGGTAAGCACCGGCCCCAGGAGTGCCGCGAATTGGCTGCCCGCACTCTGGGCGCGCGGTGCATGGGGGAGAGCACCGGCCCCGGGCGCTTGGGGGGATGCTGGCCCCGGGCGCGCAGCTTATGGGGGGGGGGCCTGATCCCAGGCACGCAAGTGTCCCTGGCCTCTGGTGCCCGGCAGGCGAACAGCCATGCCCCCTGGCACCCGGCAGCCTCAAATGGTTGGGGACCACTGGCTTAAGGTCATCTAATGAATCACTAACTCTCACCACTTTCACCAAGTGGTGGCTTTGCTCCCCGTCTCCCTGGTCTGCTGGTCGGGAGATGGGGAGCTTCCAGGAATCAGCCGCTGATCAGTTTCAGCAGCAGCTGACTTGGGGACGCCTGGGTTTCTTAAGTTGAATCTGTATGTAAGTCAGAACTGGCGTCCAGATTCAGCCGCGGTTGAAACTGATCAGTTTCAGCAGCGGCTGATGCCAGTTCCGACTTACATAGAGATTCAACTTAAGAACAAACCTACAGTCCCTATCTTGTACGTAACCCGGGGACTGCCTGTACCTAAAAAGACTGTGATTAGGGCTCCTTTTTATTTAAATTTTCCTGGAAATTTCAGTTTATTACTACAACTACCAAAAGCCGATAAAACTGTTGCAAAACATAATTAATTTTTCTGGGTAAATAGCAGGGTTTATTTTGGCGAATGGAAGGACAGGGGGAAAAAAGTATTAAATAGCTTAATACTTTGATGCATAGAATTCAATGTGGCTTGCTGCAAACTGGAATGGCCCTGAAAACACAATGCCATGTCTGAGTTTAAGAAAAAAAACCCAACAACCTCAATTCCAAATAAAATTGTATTTGAATAAATAGTTTACTGTTATAGACTTCGACCTATTAGCCTATAAATATTTACATTTAGTAATTAGACTACACTATATGCAGCACATACTGAATTTTATCCTTTTCTCTGATTTTTGTGTTCTGAAACATTCAAATACACATTTTAGTGTCAAAGTGAGACATGTGTGGTGCAAGCCCCTTGATTTTCAGTTTAAACCGATCTTTACTGGGAAAAATCCAAGGTTTTCAAAATATTTTTTTTCTGATTTTTTGACCTGCTTTTGTATCAACCAAGTATATGAAAATACCTTATTAGGAAAATACAAATACACAAATTATGCTTATATATGTCTCATGCAATGTACTGTATATGCAAAGCTGCCCATTGACATTCTCCCCATTCTCACTTTACACATATTCCCTTATTATAATAGGTATAAGCATAATATAATTTCATTCAATTATTTTTGAATATCCATGGATGAACTTTAAAAAGTCATTCTGCAAAATTAAAACTATTTATACAATCTATTAGTTATCTGAATGTTTGCCTTCAATACCAAATAATATTTGAAAAATATGTTCAGTTTGATGCTGTTTCAGGAATTCTAAAAATTGGCCAAGATCCATGTGATAGTCATTCCTCAGTCCATAATCACCATGGGCTTGGAACTGTAAATCTTCAAAAGTATGAAAGAGACGAAGTGTATCCCCCTTTCCTTCAGTTTCCATACTCTCAACATGTTTGCAGGAAATGTGTTTCCAGTTAGGATATCTAATAACATGCCAGAACTCCTCACAGTTTTCTTTGAGCCCCTCCACACAGATGATACCAGGTTTCCCTGTTAAGCAGAAACCAGTCAAATGTAATTGCTTAGCACAATCAAATATTTTCTTCTTCAGTTCCTGTCTGTATATATGATGGCTATAGATCCACATTCGATGAAAAATTATTTTTACTGCCTTTTCTTTTGGAACAGTTTCAGAAGAGATGTTGCTGATTTGGAAATAAGATGTACTGTTGTCTCTTACCCACTGCACAGCCGCACATACACACAGTTCACCTGAATCCAAAGAACTGATGTGAGACAGGAGATGTTTATTGAGCTGCTGCTGATTTTGTCTGTCTAGTGCATTTGATCTTGCAAATAGTTGTGGTGCTGAGTGAGGATAGTTATGAGGCAAGGATACATGCAAGTCCACTTTTGCCTTAAAAATAAAGGGGGGGAGGGAGAAAGAGAAACATGAAAATCAGATCTACAGATACTGAATTGCATGTTATGACAACAGAAGTTTCAGGACCTGTATCTTGTACTCCACAGAAATCCTCAGCTAATAACCATTTTAAAAAATTTCTGAAATCATCCTCATCCCATGGAGGGTTCATCTCAGATAGCCTTGCCCCTTATAAAAACCATCCAGTGTATGACTAAGATACTCTGGCAGACCCTGGCCTTAATACTACCCATGACTGAAGGGATGGGTCACAGAACAAATACAGGGTGGACGTCCCTGGTCCAGCACCCTCGGGACTTGACCTGTTCTGGTTGAGGGAATTTGCCAGACCAGGAAAGGTCCCTTACCAATGGCCCCCTCAGCCTGCTGCTGCCTCGCTGCCAGCTCCTTTGGCTATGCTGTCAGCTGACTGACATGGCTGCCATGGCCCTGGATGAGTTGTCCTGGTTCCAGACGGGTTGCCACAGCAGCACCAGCCCCACTACAAGGCTGGCATGCAGTCCCAATCAGGCTGCTGGCCTGCTCTGGCCCCTGCTGGGCTGGCATGCGTAGGCTGCTCCTTCCCCACTGCCGCCACCAGACTGCTGTGTGCCGGACTCTCAGCTACCACTAGCCTTGCTGTGCATGGGGCTCTCAGCTGTTGGCCCTCCTGCCCCAGGGCTCTCTTGTCCAAGAAATTCTGTTATTCTGTTGGCTCATGGATGTTGTCAGATCAGAGAGTTCCTGTTTAGGCAGGTGCAACCTGTAGGAACACCTATTCATACACAAACAACCCAAGACTCTAATCTTGTGATTGATATAGAAAATCATGAGCCGTGAAGCAGCCAGGTCCTGCCCCAAAGTCACAGAATGTTAAAAAGCTGGAGTTTTTTTGGCCTAAAGGTCTATTCGACCTAGGACTTCAGCTTTGCGTAGGCTGGAGCAAGCAGTACTCAAATGCTTTGCTTTCAATTGCCAATTCCCTCCAGGAAAATTCCAGGAGTTGTTCATGGCTGATTCATGGCTAGAGTTTTCTGTGCTTCTGGAGGAGGGTAGGGTAGTGTCAACAATCAGCCTCCCTGCCACTCTGGACATGGCAGATTCAGCACCTGGGGCTATGGCTACCACAATTACAATGAGACTGAGTGTATGGTTACAGATTTCCGGCACACCACCAAAGGTTCAGAACACCATTCAGGACCTGCCCTTTGACTGTGCAGGCCTGTTTGCTGACAACAGAGATTCCCGTTTGCACAATCTTATGGACTCACAGGCAACCCTAAAGTCTCTGGGGGTCAACTCCTACACCTTGAGAGCCATTTAAGCCCCATCCCTTTCCACTCTACACTCTGGGCCCCGAGGGGCAGGATTCTGTCAGGAGATAGGGTTGGAATAATAAGAGGTGCCTGTCACAATCCTCCACAGGCCAACACCAGGATTCTTTCACACAGTGCTCTGGCCCAAAGTAGAGATGTTAAATTGTGGTTATCTGACTAATTGTGTAGTCGATATTGTATCAACTATACAATTAGTTGATAGGACCGCTCTGCAGAGCTGCAGCAGGGGTAGCTCCAGGAGCCAGCTTGAGCTGGGTCTGAGCAATCCCAGCTCATACTGGCTCCAGCAGCCACCCACGCTGCGGTTCTGCATTTTAAATGTAGTAAGAACCACCGGGCTCTCACTACATTTAAAATGCAGAGGCATGGCATCCTGGAGCAACGTGAGCTGGGACTGCTTCTTCCCAGCACACGCTGAGTCCAGCAGCCCCGGTCCACCACAAACAGAAGTTGCTTCAGCACCAGCCACTGTTTTGCAGGGCCCAAGGCTGCAGCCAGAGGCTGCAGCCTTGAGCAGCCCCTATGCGTGGCCAGCCCAGGCCACCACAAACAGGGGTTGCTTTGCAGCAGCCTCCTCTATCCCCCAGCGGAGAGAAGGGGACAGGCAGCATTGCAGATCCAATACTAGGGAGAACCGGCTCCTTTTTGAACCACAGCTTTCACCTTCAAGAGCACACACCTTTGGAATGGACATGAGCAACACATCTCAAAAAACAACAGTTGAGAGAGAGGTTGCTTTCTTCTAACCACAGTTTTACCATTTTATTTTTCCTAAGTCCCTATTATAATGACAATATGTGCTAAGTAGGAAATATAAAAACATGCACATCTCATTTTAACCTGACAATTAATTCACATCACATTTTGTTAAACAGCTGTAGTGAATTAACATTTGAAAACACATGTCTACAGGGAGGATGACAAAATTAAATTTCAAAAACTTTCATTTAAAGAAAGCTCTGACTTAAATGTTTTAGTAAATTTAAAATATTTAAACAGAAGTTTGAATTCTTATAGGGCATTCTTTGGAAACACTACATAATCTGGCTCTTCCATGTGTATATATGATTAAATGTTTGATTCAAACTTGATTTTCTTATTTTTCTTTTATTTGAAACAAACATTTTTTGGGCCTTATGCTGGAAATAAGCACTTCTATTTCCAATTTATGTTTATGGAATTCGTCAATACTCAGAACCTTTCAAAGCCATCAGTTTTTAAGGAGAACTCCCACTGATTATGCTTAAAAACCTGCGGCATGTCTTGTCTTGCCACAGTACAGGTTGCACTTCCCAAAACTGGGACTCTCTCATGTTCCTGAACAAGAGAGTCCCAGGGCAGGAGGGCCAGCAGCTGAGAGCCCTGCACACAGCAAGGGTGGTGGTAGCAAGGCCAGGGCTGCAGCATCCTGGCGGCTATAGCAGGGCCATGATAGAGGGGTAGGACCAGCTCGGCAACCCAGCTGGGCCAGGAGCAGCCCATGCAGGCCGAGCCACAGCAGCCTGCCTGGCAGTAAGATCAGGCCACAGCAGGAGAAGCTCTTTGGGGGCACAGACAGCAGTAAACTGGTATTGCCACGGCAACCAGGCTAAGACCAGGGAAGCTCAGCCAGTGCCACATGCTGCCCAGTAGAATTACAAACTGACCAATCAACCACAGACCTCATTGGGAACCAGAAGTAATCAGTCAAGTAAAATAAAAAAGGCAAATACAGTACTGTTTTAAACAAACTACTAAAAAATAAAGAGAAAACAGCATTTTTGTTCTGCATAATACAGCTTTGAAACTTTACTATGTCAATGTTCAGATTAAGGATGTTAAATTGTGTTTAATCAGCTAATCAAGCAATCAATGGAATGCCCATTTGATTGCTCGATTAGTAGTTATGGGGGGAAACTGCAGAGCAGCAGTGGGGTTAGCTCCGAAGGTGCATCTACATTGCACCATAGGTCAAAATAAGATATGCAATTTGAGCTATGCAAATTGCGTATCTTATTTCTAAATAGCTTATTTTGTAATTTCTCGCTGTCTGCACAATGCCAAATTTCGAAATAACACACTATTCTGAAACATTCCATACTCCTTGTGGAATAAGGTATACAGGGACATCAAAATAGTGAGCCCGAAATAACAGGTTTGCTGTTAAAACACAGGATAGCTATTTCAGAAATAGCGTCAAAGTGTAGACATAGCCTGACAGAGGCAGCACAAGGGGGTAGGGAGAAGCCACTAGTCAAGTAGTGACTCGACTACCCAATAAGCTTAGGTTTATCAGATAGTCGACTAGTCGCTTACATCCCTAGTTTAGATATAAACTTCTGAAAAAATAACCATAATGCTTTGTTGCAAACAATCTCCATTGCCGAGGTGTTTGTTATTTTCAGGGTCTATGGCAGCTGTGGCCAGCCCGCAGCTTGTGAGCCGCATGTGGCTTTTCCCCTGCACCCCAGGGTGCGGCTCGTGAAGTGCCTCCCCTCTCCCAGTGACTCATAAAGCTGCCCCTGTGCCTCCCAAAATGGCCCTCTCCTCCTGGCTCCCTGTGCTGGGGAGCCATCTGGCATAAGCCTGATGTGGCCCAAAAAAGCCTCTAAATGCATTTTCTTAAAGGGGGCTCCTTTTAAAGGGACAATCAAACATGACAGGGAGCTGCAGTCCCTTTTATTTTTTGCTCAACAACTTTGCCCGGGCTCTTCATACTGGATCCACTGTTATTTTGGCTCTTTGCCCAGAATGGGTTGGCCACCCCTGTTCTGTGGTTTACATGTTTGCTGGCCTCCATGCCAACCATCAAAGTGCCTAAAGGATAACTACACCCTCTTTCATTCAAACAAAAATTATTACTCTCTACAAGCACTGGATTGCTATTAAATTCAAGCTTAAAACTGCACATTTTTTAAGGAGACTATATTTGGTGAAAACGATGCTTTTAAAAATAACTTCAGAGCAAAAATAAAAACCTGCATAGATAAAATGTAAATGGTAGTTCTCACCTTTGGCTCATTAATATCAACAGAAATGGAATATTCTATCAGAGGTGGGAGTTCTTCTTTCATGTTTTGCAAATACAGCTGCACATAAGAGAGCGCATTTTTGTCCTGAAGGTTTAGTTCTCCTTTATTAGGAAACATTGAAAAAAGCATTTCCATTTCCAACAGCTGCAGCTCCAGACATTCTTTTATTGTGACAGCCATTGTGTTACATTTCTTAACTTAGACACCTGAAAAAGGAAGAATTTGTATCTGTAATAGTTTGTTCAACTGTAGCCATATTCTTCTGTCAGTCACAGCAACAATCTTGTGTATTTTGTCTAAGAATAATAAAAAGGAACAATTATTTAAAAAATGAGATCAGCCATAAAGCTGTTTCCACAAGGGGAAAAAATACATTCCCATGGAATTAAGGTTCAAAGTCCATATAATTAGGTGCAGGGGCTCTCAAATGTCATTGCATCACAAACCCATTCCCACAACAAAAATTACTACACAGACTCCCAACACGGCCCCCGTGCTGCTCCCCGGGGCCAGGAGGAGACCCCAGAACGAATTCGGATAGAAGCAGGCGGCTCCTCCCCCCCCAGGGTAGCACAAGGGCGAGGGCTGCTCCGCGCCACTGGGGAGACTCCAGCCACCCTGCCCCGGGCAAAGCGACGGGACCGCGAGTGGAGCCCGCCCGCGCGCCACACCCTGACGCTTCCACTGCGGGCCGCGTCGCTGCGTGCACGTGGCCGGTCCGTCACCAACGGCCGGGAGCAGCTGGCGCGCGCGCTTGCCTCGTCCGCGGAGTGCGCGTGACGCCGAAGCCCCCAGGGCCCTGCTCTGTTGACGCCGAGGGGTGCGGGGAAGGTGCCACGCGCCGGAGCCTTTGCTGACGCGAGACCGTGAAAGTGCCGCGAGCTGTGCCCGACTCCCCTGCAGGCCTTGGGTGCCAGGCCCCTTCCTCGCGGCGGGGGGCGGGGCCGCAGGGGAGACGGGACGTCCCTGGCGTGGGGGCGGAGCTGTGGTGACGTGTCTCGCGGCCCCGCGCGATCTGGTGCGAGAGGCGGCCGCGAGCTGAGTACGGGCAGGCGGGAGAAGCTCCGGGGCGCGGCCCCAGCCCCTGCAGCCGGAATGCGCAGCTCCCGTCCCACAAGGGCTCCTGTTGGGACGGTCCCCTGCCGTACTTCATGCAAATGGGTATAGGCATTATAACTATGCATAACGCAGAGAGACATTAAACAAAATACGACGTGTAGCCCATCAAATGTGATGTTAGTCTGCGGAGCCTGCATCGCCTAGTTCTGTGCCTGTATTGCTCTTGTGTGTGACGTTAGACATGGGAAGTTGAAATCTCTTTTTTGATTTTAAATGTACTAATGAGAGTCGATTCTGGTGCCCCTCCCCAAGCCTACTGTGTTGGTGATCAATTCCACAACGTGTAAATAGCCTTGTTCATTCAGGAAGTCTAGAAGGTTGGAGACCTAAGTCAGAGTAAAAGAGTTTGTCTCTGGCTTAAAGATTATGCTTGAAATAAGAACAACTCCTTAGGGCAGGGGTCTCAAACTTTGTGATACCGGGACCCTCCTCTAAGTTGCAGGGGTGGGGGGGTACCCACAGTTTGAGAAATGTGGCCTGAGGGTAAGAATCTGCTTGCAATTAGTCCCTGAGGTTATGTTTACACAGCAGGGCTAAAGTCGAATTAAGGTACTCAATTTCAGCTATATCAATTGCTAGCTTAAGTCGAAATAGATTATTTTGGTTTTAGGTGCTTTCTACACAGCAGGAAGTTGAAGGAAGAGCACTCTTCCATCGACTTCCCTTACTCCTCGTGAAATGAGCGTTGCCAAGAGTCAGAATAAGAAGTCCTCCAACTCGACATTATTTCAAAATAAAAGCTTGTAGTGTAGACATACACTATATTATTTCAGAATAACGCTTACAGAATTAGAATTAGCTATACATTTTCTTTTCATTTTAATTTAGTAACTTACTTTGATGCATCTTTTTTCTCTTGCAGCCACTTAAACCCTACTGTGTACTTACTTAATAAAAACATTTTTGTTTAGTGTCAGGCCGCATAATTGTTACCTGAGAAGAGCAACTAATGTGTACATCTCTGTTAAAGGGAGCGTATGTGATTTATTTGTTGGTTTGATTATTTTTGGGTGATGGTTTCCTGAGTGCTGTGCTCTAGAACTGTGTCCTTCCAGAGCTGAAATGGTGTAGGGCTTCATTCTGCTGCAGCAGTGTGGTAGTCACAACTTTGTGCTTTGTATGGGGAAGACCAAATGAACTGGCCAGCAGGACAGGGTGATGAGGTGCCCCAGAAAGCAAGAAGGGAGGTATCAGTGGCACATGTGCACACTGGGGAACAATCCCAAATGTCTTCAGTCACCACACTCCATCACAAATTGAATGTTCTGAACAACACAACTACAACAAGGGAGGGCACTGCAAAGGAAAACTTGGCAGGGAAATAGGCCTGTTTGCACCAATGTCTTGCATTATGTTGAGTTTAAATCTTCTGAAAAAACAAGACATGCAATATATGAGCTTTTGTAGGCCAGACCCACTTCCTCAGATCAATATGTGGAAAAAAATTGGCACCACCATATATACCAAAGTGATACAATAAAAAAAATGAATGCATGTGAAATTGGCCAATCAAATTTTAGAACAGAGTGGGGGTGTGTAACCAGTGTAACTTTGTTCTCACCCACAATTATTTCCAATTTGGTGACAACTTATACCTCCAGATCAGCAGCACAGCCATGGTACCCGCATGGCCCCACAGTACGCTAACATCTTTATGGGATTTGTCCTTTTCATATGTGTTCATTTTTTAAAATTGTATCCTTTGCTATATATGGTTGTGACTATTTTCTTCCACTATTTGATCTGAGGAAGTGGGTCTGGCCCAGGAAAGCTCATCATCTAATAAACCATCTTGTTACTCTTTAAAGTACTACATAGTCCTGTATTTTGCTTCAGCTACCCCAGACTAACACCGCTACATTTCTATCACTATCTTTATGGCTGACTTAGAACAAAGTTTCCTCAGATCCCTCACCCCCACTGTTCTAAAATGTGATTTGTCAATTTCATGTGCATTCATTTTTTTTATTGTATCACTTTGGTATATATGGTGGAGCCAATTTTTTCCCACATATTGATCTGAGGAAGTGGGTCTGGACCACGAAAGCTCATCACCTAATAAATCATCTTGTTAGTCTTTAGAGCACAACATAATCCTGTCTTTTGTTACATGAGCAAGGGAACTGAAGTTGATGCTATTAGATCCACTTCCCACAGTGGCCACACTGATTCTTGGGGAGTTGTATCATCCCGCACCTGCTGCAGCTCGGTACTCCAGCCCAGCCAGTCAACGAGCCCCCTCCTACCCTGAGGTGCTACCAAGCTTCGCCCCACCGTCGGAACTCCGCCCCCCTCGCGCGAGAAGCTCCTGCTTAGCCCCGCCCCACCGTGGCTACTCTCTTGGCGGTGCGTCCTCCCCCCCAGCACCGGGCGGTGGAACGTTCAGGTAAGAAAGACTCTAGGGCCGGCGAGCGGCTGCGCTCTGATTGGCTCGGCGTTAGGAGGCGTGTCTGCGCAGGAAGGGGCGTGTTTGACCATCTGGCTGCTGAGAGCCACGTCGGCAGCGGCTGGGGGGGGGCGCGCGGGGGAG